AGTAGCTCTGGCTTTCGTATTGTTGAGAAATTTGGTCCACCGGTGTTAGTCGGGAATTGGGATAGATCGAGAATCTTTTAGAGCAGCTTTAGTTTGTCGACAGCCATAAAGAATTGCTGTTTGTACTGGCCAGTTGCGATCGGTGTAATATCAAAAAGACTGTAAAAATCTGATTGTATTCGGATTTTTAATGCATGTTATTTCTACCTGCGTTATGACTGGAATGAACTCTAACCCATTGCGCATTCATATATATAAGGTGTACAATGTCTCAGAAAGATTGAAAAAATTCGATTTTTCCATCGAATTATTGATACTCAAAAATGGATTTTTAATCTAAAAATAGTCAATTCTACTCTGATTTTTAACGATTTTTTATATGGGTGAACTGCAGGAATATGTAGCTCTATGATTGCTATGTTGTGGTAATATTTCTGAAGTTTGTACGTTTTACAGAGTCGCACGGTGTATCAACCGAAATCGCAAAGCTAAGACCGTTCTAAAAATCTTGAATTTTATAGAAATATTGCTCAGTGCAGAAGGCAGAACTCGTCACTCTTTCTCAACTTTGTGGAGATGCAACTCTTGTTACCTAGCGACCTGTTTAGCTGATCTTGAGAGGATGTTATTTATATTAAATAAGAGGAATTCGCCAAAATTAGCGATCTTTTGCGACGCAATACAATAAAAAATAATGCTTCTCTATCAAACCAGTTACAGTGGACACAGGCGGTACCTTGCCATATTTTCCAATGAACGTATACAGTCACTGTATTGTTACGCTAGTGGTTTACGGTGATCTTTTACGAGCATTGTTTACAGTGGTCGTAATATGCCGTAAAGCATCGTTTACCATTGCTGTAAACGGCTACCGTAAATAGCCGCCGTTATCTGCCGTGATTGGTTAGTGTACGACCGACCATGATTGATCTGGGTTTCATGATTTTTCGAGCAATCTTTCGTAAGCTGTTATCATTTACAAGTTTGAAATTTTTTTGAAAAAACTTGATGAAATGTGCTGATAGCGCATGGAAAAACTATCGAGTATCGTTACTACAAGCTCAAATATTAAAGAGAACGAAATAAAATAAACTTTGTCCGCGCGAATCAATGCACATCCAAAACCCTGGTGAAACATGAAGTGCGAAGTATTGGAAATATATAAAATCTTCTTTTGCAATCAAAATAATAAGAATAATCCATCAATGAATCGAAAAAAACTAACTGCCCATAACATAACATCCTGTGTTTGGAAAACAAAAAAATTTCTTTCTCATAGTTTATTCAAGAGTAATTAAGGGTGATTGAATATCAGGTTTTCGAAGACGAGTACATTGGATAAATCATACTCCACGCATGAGGCTCCATTCGAAGTCATTTGGTTTAAAAAAATCTTTGATAAAAAAATGAAATGCTATTTCGAACGCTTTGGTTCAAGCCACCCCTAGGCAACTCCAACCCACTCTAAGCTACTCGCACCCATTCTTACTCAAATCTTAAGAAGAAAACTAATTTTCGACAAGAAAGATGTGGATGTGGGGTATGAGTATGGAGTGTGGGCGTGAGGTATGGATCTGGGCCTGGGTGTCAGTCTGGGGTGGATTTTGGTGTGAATATGGGTGAGGAGATAAGTGAAAAGAAGGCTTACATCCGTACCCATGACCGACGCCAGCACTCACATCCACCAACACCCACACGCACCCCTGTAAAGCAAATGGCATGGAGTGGGGTCTCATGAATGTGGACTTCGAACTTCTATCGATTGATATTAACTTCGAGTTGAACGATGGTTGAAGTGGGTTAGAGTAAGCTGGAGCATATTTGACTAGTACCCCTTGTTGCCGGCCGAAACAAAAATAGACTAATGCATCTTAAAGCCCTTGACGAGTTCTGTAAAGATGAACTTATGACAGTGCAAAATTCGGGTATAGTTCAATACCTAACAGATCAGGAATGGTACAGATTAGGGTTCCTTTTTACAAAAACACGGTTGAGTTCATAGGACCACTAAAAACTTCCTTAAAAATGTCTCTGATTACTTATGCTGTCTAGCTTCGAATTCTGAACAGAATTGTTTAAATTTTTTTGGTTCCAATAACAGAATTGCATTGAATATGAATTTTTCTAAAAATGAAAACAATTTGATTTTTCACATTTTGTGAATCCTGTATATTTTAAATAGTGGGGTGGTATATACCAAGTGTCTTCAGGCATTTAGTACAGAAGACACGAGCACATCTAGTCATATGATTAAGCACTTAAAAGGATGAGACATATAAAAAATTTGTATGAACGCAATGTATACTGATCAATGCCTGAAGCAAGGCATGTGAGGTCTAAATCAATTCTTGTGTGTCACAAGAAAACCTCAATATAAAAAAATAAATGAAATAATAAATACTGTGCAGATAAATATGGACTTTCAAACTATAAAGGCCAAAAGTTTTCGGAGTAAGAGTCGATTTAGGACCTTATTCGGCGGAGTTCTTTGAACAATAGTGTGAATACTTGAATAAATAAAATATAGACAACTGACCTTCATTTATATTCATGTTCACGAATACTATCAGAAGAATCGCAATTCGAAGAGCCATTTTGATCAAACGATCGATCGTAATAAACAACCTAAAAAAATAGAAAATATAATAAACGTCATATTCAAATGCGGATCGAATAACATATTTTTTCTTATTCTACAGTATCACAAATGAAACCAAGCGTTACTATTAGTATACAGGTAATTGACGATGGCTATCGTCTCTCTCTCACGATACATGTTTTTCTTGCTTTGGAGAGAAATATTGGCAAATACTGATGTTATGATTTGTTCGTCCTTCGCTTACAGGTATACTGCTGCTGTGGTGCTCAATACCCAAATATTCACGATGAAAAGAAAAGGGAGAAAAATCGAAAATAATAAATCAAATAAGTAATGATGAATTACCCCAGATATGCATATAAATGATATATACATACTTAATTAAATTTCAGGTGATATTTACCTATAAATAGAAAAAACTAATTGAAACGATCACTCTCATTGATATATGAGAAGTTTTAAATGTTTACTTTTATCTAATGAAACGAAAGATGATAAGTGTAAATTTAGAAATTCAAAATATCAGTCTCCTCTAATGTGTCTCTCAATAATTATAAAGAAAACCATCCCAGGTTTAAAATCTACGATCGTATACAAAAAAAATACGACGAATAACGATGATCATATACGATGGTTGTACACGACCACCGTATACGATGTTATACGATTATACACGATTGCCGTAAACGACCACTAAATACGATCATCGTAAACGACACTCGTATACGATCGTATTGTGGTCGTGTATTTTTCTCGTGCATAGTAAGATAGCTTCGTAGTGTTATATATGTGTCATTTTTTATTACAAATTATTTATTTGGTTTATATTTTCCATTTTGCATGATCTATATGCAATATACTTTCTAATTATTAACAATGAACTGACTAGACTTTTGCTATATTTATTGCCCTAGAAAAGTGTGGACAATCTCTTTTTTTTATTTTTGTTCGGGATCCTTTGCTGAAAAATGCTGTCTTGCATGTTTTGTAGACGATGAGAAGTAAATTTATTGTTAATATCAATCAAAAATAATGTAGAGATGTTTGACCAAAAAGATAGCTTTTTCAATCTATCCCTAGAGGTATTTTAAATAAGTTTCACCAAGCTTCTAGAAAAGTAAAACTTATCCAATAGCAATGAGCAATCGACTAAGTGACAGGAAACAGAAACACTGTTATTGAAAAACTTTCTACATACTATATGAATCTCAATAAAGAACAACAAATTTGTCATAGTGTATCCAATCAGGTATCAAATTTATGCTATTATTTAATAAAGGTCATCCAGTATTTTAAATTAGATATGGCACATGGTGATTATAGTCTTCAAATCTACAAAACAAAAGGCTGACAATAGTGTTTCATTTTTTTTTCTTTTTTTCTCTATTAGTGCCTTTTTGATCGCGTAACCCAGAATTCGCGGAAACGTTTTATATTGAGTAATCACTTCTTTCGTTTTGTTCGAGAGAACAAACTTTTTTGCAAAGCCCGACAGAGCTCGATTTTGTAGCTAATCTTTATTTTATTATATAAGAAAACTCTTTTGAGAAGAAACTTTCTTTTTACAGATTTTTTGGTGGATATTGAACTTTTTCTGCCAAACAAAAGCAGGCCTATTGATTCTAATGAAGAATTGCAGAGATTTCTGCGTGATCGTGGAGAATTTTTCTTAAACTTATTTGACAAAAATATCCGATAAATCTCATGATCTTGAGCTGAAAATTTGACTAACGTCTCTCCACTACAGCCCCAACAAATTCTAGAAATTTCATGAAATTTGAACATAATTTGCCTGAAGTCGATTTCGGAATGATAAGGCTCAACCAGAATAACTCGATAGATGAAAAAAAACGAATCATATGCACTGCAACCGATGTGCACATCATCATAATACTTTTGGAGTTAAATTCAATGTAATATCTTATCTTTATGTGGATTTGAATAATAAACTCGACAAAAATATTCTCCAAAGCTAGTAAGAAAAGCGAATCACGATCTGTAATACATGCTGAAAAACATGTGCTTTTCAAGAAAAACGACATCTTTTAATTTTTTCATGTTTTTCGACATGAAAAATCGTTCATAAATGATAAAAACTAGTTTCTCTGTATCAAGAGTTCACGCTCTATCAAACTAGGTATTAAAAAAAAAAGATTAAATAAAGACAATCTTCCTTGAAGTTTGATTTATCGGCACCAATTCCTTCAAAATATATTCAAGATGAAAAATGATAATTATTTTTTAGTTTATAAGTATCAATAATTAATAGTTTATTTGATTTGATTTAAACATTTTTCGAACACTAATAAAGTTTTTATAAAAAAAAACAAAGAACAGTTGAGATATGCACATGAAAGAAAAAAATTGAATTTAATACAAAAATAGATTATTTGATTCGATGCTATTGAAAAAGACATTCAAGTTCATAATCAAACTTGAGTGTATCACTCATTCGTACTGTTTGAATACGATCAAAATGCTTATCAAGAAATTTATAATATGAATTTGCAGCTAACTGTTTCATTTTATGTAATCTAAAAAGTAATTTTCCATCAATATCAATCAAAGCATTTTCTAAACTAAAGAAGAAAAATATATATATTGATTTTCTCTTCTAAATTTATTTAATAGACATACTGTAATAACCCAATACGTTCTAACCATTGTTTAACCGCACATGCATCCCAATCCATCGCACCATTGTTTTCTTTTCCGCTTGGAGATATACTATTCAGTTCTGATAATTTGGTTTTTTTAGAATAAATTCCAATGAATACAATTTTAGAATAGAAATAAAATACATACCATTATCAATATTTTTTTTATCAATAGAAGTAAAACCAACACTATGTTGATGATAGAAAGGTTGATTAGTTTTATCTTGTGTAATATTATGGTTATTTTTCGTCATAATATCTCGTCTTATTGTTTCTATTTCACGAATTAATAATGCAAATGCTTCTTCGAAACTAAATTCAAATATTTCTTCAATAGTTTAAAGAAGATCAGTCGTTTACTCACGGTAATGTTGCAAAATCAACATGAATTTTCGCTCCTTTAATAATTCCAAGCTAAATAAAATAAAAACAAAAAATGAAAATCGAAATAAAGAAATTTCATTTTCCTAATATCTTTACCCATCCATATGGTCGAAATCGTGGTTGCATTAAACACGGAATACATGGTTTTCTTAATTCTGTTGTATATTCTTTTTGAAAAAATAGATGTAAAGTTTTTGTAACAAAATTTTTCAAAACATACCTGCTTCTAAAATAGACGAAAAAAAACAAACAAAAATAATCAAATTTGTACTATAACTTTGAAGAAAAGATTTTTCTTCGTATGTTTTTTTTTATCAAATATGGCACTGTTCGATCGCAAATGATAGCAATTGTTTTATAATTTTACACTTGAAAAAAATTATGAGAGAGTGTTTTCAGTTGATCAATCGATTTCTCAGCAAAAACTATTGAATTGTAGGTTATCGACTATGTTGATTCCGAATATGAGCAAGACAAACCATCTTAAGTCTTCAAATACTAATTATTTTTTGAAGATCGGATTTTCAGAATCACAAACATTTTGACAAAATCGTTTTGGATCTACTCAGATTATAGAGCATATCAAATGGTCTCGAAAACAATGATCTTTCCTGCTTTTTTAAAAAATGAGTTCTAAGTAAAATAATATCATCTCAAGGATTTTCACATTGAATTATTGATATGTATCCATTGTATAAATTGAAACAGCTGTATTTTCTCTCAAAACAAAAAAAATACGATTTGAAGCGGAAAAAGTTACTATTTTCTAGGTAATTCAATATACTCTATAATCTACAGAGATTGTAAGAAAAACTTTAACGAAAATATTTTTAGACTGAAACACCAGCATGTGACGACCATAGAGAGCTTCTCGTGCTCATATTCGAAATTAGCATAGTCGATAACCTATAGATTAGTAGCTTTCATTGAAAAGTGATTGATCAAATGAAGCGATTACCTCCTTAGACTCTGATACATTAGAAAATAGAATTTCGTTCAGTCCTTGACGAGAGAACCACTCTGAGCGATACGTTGCGTTTAAGATAAGACCTCAGTCATTATGTAGGGCTTGTTGGGAGTAAAAGAAATCTAAAAGGATTTTTCTGTATGCACTGCTTTTTTGGATTTATGGCGATTACACTGGATTTTTTACTTTTGATACGGTATCTATAAAAAAGAATTGAATCAACGAATTTTGACCTAAAACTTTGCCCATAGATGGTTGTTGAAGTCATTAGAATCTCCTGAAAATATCAGTCAAAACGAATATTCTCTTCTCGCAATATTATATGCACAAAGAAACTAGATTGTCAGTCTTTTTTTTGCTGGAATATCATGGTTTTTTTGTGGATGTGGTATCTCGAGAAGAGAATACTCTTTTTGGTTGAAATTTCTGAAAGATTCTAATGACTTCAACAACTGTCTATGGGCAAAGTTTTAGGCCAAAATTCGTTTGTCCTATTTTTATTAAATAAATATCATGTCAATGTTAAAAAATCCAATGTAACAGCCATAACTTCAAAAGAGCACCGCATGAAGAAAAGATTCCTTCTAGGTTTCTTCTACTCTCAACAGGCCCTACATAATGAGTACGCTCTCATCTAAAACGCGAGGTATCACTTCAGATGGTTCTCTTGTGAATGATAACGTACTTTGAATCTTTATATTTCTGCAAGGATCATTTAGATGGACTTTCGACGTAGATAATAATGTTTGGTGTAGTCCATCGATAGATCGTATGAAAATAGTTTTTAACCTCTTGATAAATTTTACTATTCAAATGCTTATCTATAAGATTGTAACTAGAGCAAAGTAAATTCCAAACATGTTACGGCTAAATAGAGTTATTAATCATCGAAAGCTTTCGGACTGTTTTTGTCGATGAATTCAAGTTTAATCGGGAATAAATAGTCAATTTGAAAAATAATAAATCATGACTAATTATATACTATATTTAAACATGAATGAATTCAAATTTTTTTCCGTCCTATTGCCTCATTTATATCTAACTCTATTCGTTTAATTAAGAGTTGGTTTTTTTTTCGAAATTAAACATTGCTATATAGAATAAATCGAGTCGAAGAGAAAGACTTTAGTTTTTTAAAAATATAAAACTAACCAAGTCGACAATAATAACTTTGTTTATATTGTTCATTCATACAAATCAATACAATAGATGAATCTTCGACAGCTCGAGCCATTGATTCTAAAACACCACCATTTAAATTATCAACATCAAGCCATACACTATAACGTAAAGCCTAAATTATAGAAAAATAAATAAATAAATAAGAAAGTCAAAACGAAGAATATTTATTTACTTTAAGACGATCTCGAATTTTTAAACACATTGCTATTACTGATCGATTATATGAAATCATAATATGACCTTGAAACTGACTAGAATTACTAATTGTTGAGCAATCTTTATGTGGAATACAATTAAGTGTCCATAGAATGGCTTCACAATTTTTTTGAACAAGTTGACTTCGACTATTATTTTGTGCAAATGTTATTATATGAATAGCACGATCTGAACTAAGAAATCGTTGTACTTTTTCATCAAATGAAGCATTTAATATTGCATTTGATACACATTCAAGTAAATCATTATTTTGTGAAGAATTTTCAAGAAGATTTAAAAGAAGATTTACAAGATCTTGATCAATAAATGCATGTGTACGACCACGAACCATTAATTTAGATAAACCATCAACAAGTTCAATAAAAGAAAATCCATGAAATCTTGCATCATGTTTATCATATATTTGAATCATTTCAGATAATATTGGAATAACATCTATTTTCAAAAATAATTTCTATATTAGCAAAATTAATATTAAATACTTTACCAGATGTATTTTCAGCTAAAAAATTATCTTCATCTTCGTTCATTATTAATGGTAATAATAAACATGATGTAACACGTATGGCACTAGCTAAATTTTGTATTTCTTTTATAATAAATGTATACTTTTCATTTTCGTTTGTTTCAGGAAATTGATATTGAATTGTATTTGGTGATAATTTTGTATAATTAGCAATTATCTATATAAAATATATTTTCAAAAGAAAAATTTGAAGAATGAATGAATACCTTCTATATTCAAAGAGATATATAGAGCTCAATGAATAGTGTACAATCTTTTCAAGGAATCTGATTTTTTTTTCTTTTTTGTGCGATTTCGAAAAAGTATCAAAAATTAACTTAATACAGAATTATACGTTAAACCTTAAATGAATTAGAACGATTTTCGAGATCTGGTTACGGTATATGAATTTATGATTGCATTAAAAATTTTCGAAGAAACTTACTTCGCTTCTCGAGAGATATATTCAAAATATATTTCAGTTTCATTTATTCGTATCAGATTCAAAACATATATTACATTGAATATGAATGTGAGATATGTGTTGATCGTCTTCAATATAGTTTATATTATTTTCATAGAAAGATTAGGGAGTATACGAAGTATAAACTTATATTATACTTTAAAAATTTACTTCAATAGATAAGTATGTAATGTGCAGTGTTTGAACTTTAATGAGTGTTATGATTGATACTTGTCCTTTCATAATTTAACTACAAATTAATTATTCATAGGAGTTCTATCATTTTTTTCTTAATTCTGATATTGAAAATATTCTCATAATTAATCAAAAAAAGAAAAGAATATTTATATATAATCGAGAAAGAGCAAATATTCTGAATTTAATACTTACCTAGTCGAAATATTTTTTTGTAGAGTGTAAGTCAACCTTTTTCAAAAATAAGAGTACATAAAACATTAAGTCTGAGTTATGTTATCTTGATTTTGACAAGAAAATGAAAAAGAAAAAACAAAAATGTTTGCACTGTCAGTATCAGTACCACGAAATGAATCAGTTTCTTTCGTTCTGTTTAGAATGCAGCATTATTATCCTACATATGTTATTATCATTTGAGAAATGTTTCGCAGGAGAAAAACAAAAAAGACTTTAAACCCATTACACTATACCATTAAAGTCGAAAATACATAGTCAACGTAAGTCTATTATCTCATTGCCATAGAAGATATATATATATCCTCGTGGCCAAAATAAACGGAACACCTTATTTTTTCGAT